TCTTATCCAGTCTGACATCCTGAAAACAGAGTGTGGTTGTTCTGTTTAGTGGTGACAGTGTAAAAGACATTACTCCTGGAATTTAGCACAGCATTCAGCACATAGCAGGAATGCAAACAGAGAGTGTTAGATGAAGAAATGAATGAAGAAAATGGTTTGTGGTAATTGCCTTCTGACAAACTTTTTCTCCAAGGTACTATCACTTTTATTTTACAGATGAAGAAAGCTTAACAAAATATGTCATCTGAGTCTGACAAACTATTAGATGGAGGCTAATATGGTGACCCTCTGGAGGGAAAAGGCTATATTTAATTTTTACCATGGCATGTATATAAGTGTAATGTAACACTATTTTATACTGTGTCTTAGTGACTGTTGTTTCCAGGGAAGATTGAGGTCTAAGGTTTGTCTACATCCAGAAAATGGGCATTGAGGAGCTCTCTAGTGTAGGTTTTTTCTACTATCATACATAGAGTGCTCAGCCAGTGGGCAGCAGTGGTTAATTCCTATAATCCTAGCTGATCAGGAGGATCAAGGTTCAAATCCAGCCTGGGCAAATAGCATGAGAGACCTTATCTCGAAAATACCCAACACAAAAAGGGCTGTGGAGTGGTTCAGGTGTAGAGCACCTGCCTAGCAAGTATGAAGCCCTATGTTCAAAACCCCAGCACCACTAAGGTGGGGGAAGAGTGTTTGGCCCATCCATTCTCTCTCCTCATTGTGAAATTAGTCTGGGTCTCAACATGGGCATCACCTCTGGGAAGTCTTTCCTGACCACCCCCATCATGCATCAGGGGCTGCTTCAGAGGGTCCCATGGACCTGCCTCACCATGATAGCTCTGTGAAGTATGATCTGCCTACATCTTTACATCCTTCCAGATGGAGCTCCTGCCAGGCAGGGGCTATATTTTGTTCCATTGGATCCCCAATGCCTAGCATAGTGGCTGGCACATGTAGGTGTTCAGTATATGTTTGTCAAATTAAGGGAGGCTCTGCCTTTTCCTATACCTCCTGTTTAAGAGTTTTTGTGTCACTAGGCTTTGTCTGATAGCCCTATCTTAGGACCCCAGCCCCTGCTGCCCACTTCCCTTCAGACAATGACAGGAGAACGAATTGGGACTTCCCCCTCCATCTGCTCCTTTCCTCAGAGACACCATGTGCCTTGGAGTGTGTTGAAGCCAGAGACCCACTTACCCACATACTCAGCCAATCAGAATCATAATAATCACCACATCTGGTGAATGCTTGCAAAAATGCCAACAATCTACATAAATTATTTGGACTCCCCATAGGAAATGTTACTACTTGCACAGATAAGAAAACTAAGACTTATAGAGGGCTCAATAACATGCCCAAAGTCATACAATGAAGATGTGATGAAGAAAGGAAGGGATGAATTCCTTGGAGACTCTGGGATTCTGCTGTTTTTCTTTTTTCCTCCCATAAATGCTGGGGATGGCTCAATGAAACTAGAGGAGCCAAGTGGCTTTGCATATCCTTGAGCCAAGAGAACAGGGAGTAGGAAGGAGGTGACCCTGGCAGAGAGAGCAGCCCTGAGCAACCTCAAGTTACTCAGTAACCTCAGATACTTGGTCCCAGGGACAACTTGACCAGGCTGGGACAGAGAAGGTAGTGGACACTGGTTCCCCCTTGATCACCCTTCAGGCACTCAGCTGGTCACAACTGGAAAGTCAAAGATGGAAAGTCAAAGACTGGCCAGACCTCAAACCAGGCAGAAGGGGAGCTAGTAATGCAATCATGGGGCCCCCCCAGAGGCATAGAGTTGAGGGAACAGTGAGGGGTGAAGCCCCCTCCCACCATTCCATAGGGCCATAGGAGGCAGGAGAGAGGACCAAGGGTCTGACATCAGCTAGTAACTTAAAAAAAAACATGAGGATTGAGGGCATAGCTCAACTGGTAGAATGCTTTCCTAGCAGAGGCCCAGTACCACAGAGAGAAAGGAAAGAAAGGAAGGAAGGAAGGAAGGAAGGAAGGAAGAAAGGAAGGAAGGAAGGAAGGAAGGAAGGAAGGAAGGAAGAAAAAGGAAACAATGAACTGAGTCTCTCAATAGCGCGTGGTGGTAGCACCAGGGGAAGTCCTCTCAAGTGGCAACCTCCCAGGGGAGCTCTGGGAGGAGGACAGGGTCTTCATCTCTGTTGGATTAGAGATCAAGTGATACCAAATGGTATTCACAGATTGTTAAAATATCAAGATTACCCCATAAAGATTGATGAATGTCTTTTCCAAAGGTCTCTATGTGTGTCCTCCAAAGGCTGGCTGAGTTTGCCAGCCCTTCCAGGAGGACCTTTGTAGACTCCCATGATCTAACAACTAAAGGGTTAACATCTGCCCAGGCAGGGGCCTCTAGGACCCAACACTGTCATATACCTTGACTAATGTCTGTGGTTGTAGCCCCAGGACCTGGTCAGGGTTGACACTAAATATTTGTTGAATGAGTTAATAAGCAATAGAGCAGAGAGAAAATCAGAGATACAGAGAAGTTCAAGAAGACAAAAGGAAACAGCGGATAAGTCAGAGATGGAAGGGCTGGGAGTAAGGCTCAAATGGTAGAGTGCCTGCCTAGCTAGCAATCAACAGGCCCTGAGTTCAAACTCCAGTACCCTCTTCCATCTCCCACCACAAAAAAAAAAAAAAAAAAAAAAGACAGAGATGGAGGAGGCTAGAATCAGAGAGGCAGCTCCCATATGCTGGGAAGGCCTAGCCTACTCTTCTCTGGTCTCTGGTCCTGCAGGCTTTTTTTATTTTTATTTTTATTTTTTTTTCTTTTTTGGTGGGACTGGTGTTTGAACTCAGGTCTTCGTGCTTGCAAAGCAGGCACTCTACTGCCTGAGCCACACCTCCAGTCCCTGCAGGCTTTTTTTAAAGGAGATGTTGTATTTTATTTTATTTACTTTTTTTTGGGGGGGGGGCTGGGGTTTGAACTCAGGGTTTCATTCTTGCTAGGCAGATGCTCTACCACTTGAGCTACTTCACCAGCCCTCTTCCGGCTTTGAAGGCTTCTTCCTTCCCAGAGCTTGTCTAGAACCTGCTGGGTTAGCCCAGAGCAAATTCTTTTCCCAAACATGGCTCAGTATTCCTCTCTGGGGCAGAAGGCCGGGCCTGGGAGGAAGCCCAGATGTGAATCATTATCCAAAGTCTGCTGACCAGACATCTCCCTCACCCCAGGAGGGGCCTGAAAACAACCTTCCTGCTGATCAAGTAGTGATGAAGAGTATCTGGACAGGGGCCCCGACGGCCAGCTCGGAACCATGCTATAGAGGCTGACCCCTACTCCTTCATGTGCCCTGGCTGGGCACTTAGGGGAGGAAAACTGGATACCTAGAATCCAATTGTCCTCCACAGTTCTTGCAGGCTGGACGGTCAAGTCCCTGAAGGGAGGGCAGAGGAAGGGAACTGGAAAGGGGCAAAGGGGAAAAAAGGAAGAGGGTCAGGACTCCATGTGCTGCCATCCCTGTGTACTCCTGAGAAGGGACAAAACCCCTGTGGACTGTCAGGTATCAGAACCAACAATGTCAGGGAACCCTTTAGTGGCCCAGCACCTGCTAGATAGAAACCATATGCTTCACAGGACCTTCAAGGCCTTTCTAGACTCCTCCACTCCACACTCAGTTTCTGAACACACTGGAGGCTCACATTATCGGAGTGCTGTCTGTACTGCTCCTTCTTTTTTCTTTTCTTCCTTTTTAAAAATTTTTTAGTAAAAATAATAGCAAAGGAAAAGTATAGGAACAGTATAGGAAAAAAATTTAGTACAATAGGATAAAAGTGGGGAAGGGCTGGCGGAGTGGCTTAAGTAGTAGAGCTCCTCCTAGCAAGCATGAAGCCCTGAGTTCAAGTCCCAGTACCACCAAAAAGTGGAGAGAAATGAAAGGAGAAACATTTCCTGCTTCCCATGCAGGAAATAGGAGTAAAGACTCCTGTTCCCACTTCTTGAAACCTCCCCTCTTTATTTATCCCTTGTCCAATCCCTAGGTTGTTCTTCCAGATTGCCTTCAGACATTACTTGCCCAGGAAGTGATTCTCCATCTCTATTCCATTAAATTCCCTCTTCAGTATCCATCTCCTACCCTATATCTGCTCCTGGAAGGAAGAGCCATCCGGTTCTTCTCTGCAGCCTGACTCCCTATAAGTGTTCCATCCAAGTCTCACACCTCACTGTCTGCCTGCCAGAATCCTGGTGGAGGCAGGTCTTGCTTTTGTGATAAGGAACTCAACTCCTATTAAGACCCTCCTTCCATCTAACCTCTCTCCTCTCCAGCAACAGAGGAGACCCAAATTCTCTTACATGCACACTGGTGGTGCAGGGAACCCCGGTGTCAGCACGGCAGGACCCAGCCTGGTGCAGATTAGGAGGGGAAATGGGAAGGGGCAAAGGCTCAAAACAGGGTAAGGGATGCTACTGCTGAGCCTCAGACATCCTAGGCCGGGTTAATCATCAATGTCTTGGGGAGCATCTGTTGATCTCCATTCTCCTGGTCTGCTTTTTCAATAGGAAAGATTGAATAAACCAAAAAACGCTTCCCCTTTCCCCCCATCTCTGGTGCTAGCTCTGGGAGGGCCCACTGGGGCCTTTAATGGACTCTTGTTTCTTCAGAGAGACACGCCCTGAACTAACACCATGTAGAAGGGGGCGGGTGCCCTCTCTCCTCCCACCACCAGGTCTCGCAGCTGTGTCCCAGTAAAGCACCTGGCGCCTTTCCAGGGTCACCTCCAAGGACTTGCACCAACCGGACAAGCGCCAGGTCATCTAGGCCAAGGGAGACATGACCTCGGGGTCCGAAGGCCGAATCCAGACCTAGCTCACTTCAAGCCACCGGCGGAGGCGCCTACTGCGGGCTGGGTCTGGGACCCCGAGCACCCCAGAGCCGGACCTCCGTGTGGGCGGGGCTCCACGTGGGCGGGGATTCCTGCGAGACCTCGCCTAGGTGAAACCTGCTGGGCTTGCCCGGGGAGTGTCAGCTCCGCGTGGCGCGGAGCCCCAGCCAGAGCCCGCGGTTTCACAGCCCCTGTCCCATGGCCAGGTCTCCCCACCGCGCCGCGGGCCGGCGACTGCACCTGCCCCTGCTGTGCCTCTTCTTCCAGGGCGCCACCGCCATCCTCTTTGCCATCTTTGTCCGCTACAACCACGAAACCGACGCTGCCCTCTGGCACTGGGGCAACCACAGTAACGCGAACAATGAGTTTTACTTTCGCTACCCAAGTGAGTGCGGGTGAGGGCGCGCGGGACGCAAAACCCTCAAGCCTCTTGGGAGGGGACCCTTGGGTGCTCAGATCGGCCCCGAGGTGGTAACCCCTCTCGTTGAGGTGAAGGGCCTCGGATTTAATTAAAACAGCACCCTTTGTCTAGTGTCTGCCACGTTCCAGGTACTGTGCTGACGATGGCACATTAATTATCTCTGTTAATCTATGAGACAGACAAAGGTTCAGGGAAGTGAAGTGGCTGATTCAGGGTCACACAGTCAGAAGGAGGGGAGCTAGAATTTGAATCCAGATCCAAAGCCCCAGTGTTAGCCACTTCTTCATCCCACCTCCATGTGGGCTTTGCTAGGCTGCCTAGACTAAGACTGCGTTTCTGAGAGGCTCCACCCCACCCTGACTACAGGAAAGAGAATCCTCCTGGGCAGGAGAGGCAGGGGAGGGGGCCACTGGAGAAAGTAATGGCACTCTCATCTACAGGCATCCAAGCAAGACTCCTTTGGTATCAGGCATTTCTTCCCCACCCCTTTCGGTGCAGAGAGAAAAGACAACCACCTTCCAGCCGCTCTCAGACCTGAGAGGAAGCCTTGCAGGGTCATTAGCCATTTCACAGAGGAGTCCTTGCTCACTCATAATCTCCCATCATGTGAGTGGCAAGCTAGAAGGAGGACTCAGGAATTCGATTCCTTTCACTGCAAGGCACTTGCCTGCCCGCAGGCTCAGGAGGGGGAAATTAAACCTCCCCCCATGGATCCAGAGCCTCTCCCTCAAGATTGGGGGCCCTGCCTTGTACCTTAGGCCCTGCATAGCTAGAACCAAGAGCATCAGACCTCCCACCTTTCATCAGAAATGCTTAAACTGACCTCTAAAATCTGTTTCTCCCTCTGAGCAGTGGGGAAAAGATGCCTCAGGGTTTTCTGTTTTGTTTTGTTTTGGGGGGAGGGTGGTACTGGGGCTTGAACTCAAGGCTTCATGTTTGCTAGGCAGGAGCTCTACCACTGGAGCCATTCCTCCAGCCCCAGATGCCTCTGTTTCAAAGATATTCATTCAAACAAGGCCTAGTGGTGTGAAAGTCTTCTTTAAAACATCCCATGCTATTAATGCATTACTTTCTGTAGGCAGAGCTGGTGGCAGGCTGTCCCTACCTCACCCTGTCCCAACCCCAGCAAAATGAAGCTCACAATGCTGAGAACATTGTGAGGGAGTGACTTGGGCTTGGGCATGAAGAGCCAGACCCCCAGCTATCTGGGGAAGAGGCGTTACAGCTTCTCCATCCCCACATTTTATCTCCAAACCTGGGCAAGATGAGCCTTGGAAGCTGGGATGGAAATCAGAGCCTCAAAGCTGGGCCATTAATTTGTCCAGAGAGATAGGGAGTTGGGATGAAACAAACCAGAAGCTGAGAGAAACAAGCTCTTGTTCAGGGTCTGACCTGGCTGCTTGCCATGAACTCCACACTTACTTCTCCCATGGGCTTCACTCAGAGCTGCTACAAAACCCTGCATCGCGTCCAACCTCTTGCCCCACTGCCTCTGTGCTGGGATCCCCTCGGACACACAGCTTTCTGTTCCGGAGTGCAGTAAGAGGAATAGCAGTGTGGTTTCTACTTCTTTTTCTGCCTTAGGTTTCCATCCCTGTGGACTTTAACCCTGCTATGGGGGAAGGTTGGGCAGGAGGGAGGCATGTGGTCCCTAGAGCTTGGGGCTTTGATGAGCCATGTCCTCACCTGTCTATGTGTCCAGGGAAAAGGGTCAAGGCCAAAGGGAGGTGCAGCTACCATCCTTTGATTCGGGAGATGAAAGGGAGTTCTGCGGCTGCTGGGATTGGCCAGTGCCAAGCAGGGCCACTCTGAAGGGCTGTCTATTATCTATTCAGGAAGGATCCTCAGGGTCCATTTGATCTATCCTTCTAGGAAATGGAGAGCCAGAGAAGTCATGTGACCTGTCAAAGTCATATAGAAAGTTACAAAAAGAGCCACATGAACTAGGTCATTTCTTTTCTTTTCTTTTTTTTTTTTGGTGGGATTGGCATTTGAACTAAGGCTTCACATTTGGAAAGCAGGCACTCTATTGCTTGAGCCACTTCTCCAGCTCTTTTTGCTTGGTTGTTTTGGAGGTGGGATCTCATGAACTATTTGCCCAAGCAGGCCTTGAATCATGATCCTCCCAATCTCAACCTCCCAAGTTGCTAGGATTACAGGTGTGAAATACCGGTGCCCAGCTAGGCCTTGAGTTCTTGATCTTCCTGCCTCTGCCTCTCCATTGCTCGGATTGCAAGCTATATGCCACCACATCTGATCTACAAACTTCTTATTCCATGAGGCAAGTGATGGAAAATTAAAAAAAGATCATGGGCTGCCGGAGGTAGCAAGTGTGAAGCCCTGAGTTCAACCCTGAGTATCGCCAAAAAAAGAGCAAAGAGCCAGGTTGATAGGGGCCACAAAAGCAAACATGAGAAAGGTTTCTAAGAAAAAAATATGGACAGTCCTTTTTTAGATACTCCAGAGATCTGGGGAGAGGGATTTAGGATGGATGTAATCAGAATCTTGGAAGTGATGGGGGTAGGAGAATGTGATGTGGACCAGAGTGGCTTGTGACTTCTGGAAGAATGCAACCCATTGTCCTGGCATGAGGTGGGGTTAAGGGGGGAGTATGGGAAGATGGCCTCCCAAGCCCCTTCCTCCTCCCTGCTCCTCATGTTCTATATCCACACTTTGCAGATGAAGCAGCTGCGGCTCAGAGAGACTAAGTGGCTTGTCCAAGGTCACAGGGTCAGAAGGGGGTAGTGGCACCTGGAATTTAAATCCAGCCTTGTCAGACACTAAAGCCTGAATTTTAACTGCACCTTGTGTTAATCTTGTCCTGTTAGAAGTCACCTGGCAGGGTTGGAGTCTGGCAGTAAGGGAAGGAGGGAGGGCAACAGGTGACTGTAGAGGGCTTTTTATCTTCTCCAACCAAAGGTTGGAAGGGTTTGGTAAGCAGGGGTCAGGCTCCATCTCACCCCACAGCAATTCCCTGAAGGGAAAGTGGGGTCACCCCCTGCCTCCAGCTGGACCAGCCTCTCACCCATCAGACCTCAAGGAGAGTCTCTTTGTGGAATGTTCCACAGAGAAGGAGATTGCTTGATGCTTATACTTCAGTTGAAAGGTCAAGGGATTGAGTTTTGATTCCAAACAAACCCAGGTAAAGAGATATAAATATTACCTCCAGTTAAGACAAGTTTCAGAGCAGTTTCTACATGTAATTGGCTGGCAGTCCTGTGACCCATTCCCCTTTGCTATCTTGCTGTCTTTGGGCATAAGAACAGACAAGATCTCCTCTTTAAACTTTGTATAAGGAGAAAAGAAGTCAGGCAGAGAGGTCTAAAAGAATTTAGGCTGTAGGCTGAGTTCTAAGTATTGTCTCTCCCTGTTTTGTTGTAAGATGCTATGATTCAGGAGCAGGCAGGTCTGGAAAAGCCATGCAGGGTTGGAGACATTTAGTGAGGCCAGAAGGCCTCCAAAGCCTCACTCTCCTTGGCTGCTGGGGCTACCAACCTCCAATTCCAGTGCACATTTAACCCTTTGCTTACAAACTCATTTCCCGTTTGCTCTTATGTATGACACCAAAAACAACATAAAAATTTGCTTCTTTCAAAGTTGTTGATTGCATTCCAAAGGCCAATACAATTTTTTTTTTTTTCTGGTGGCACTGGGGTTTGAACTCAAAGTCTCTTGCTTGCTAGGCAGGCACTCTTATCACTTGAGCCATTCCATCAGCCCCTTTTTCATGATGGGTTTTTTAGAAATAGAGTCTCGTGAACTAATTGCCTGGGGCTACCTTGATCCTCCTGATCTTTGCCTCCTGAATAACTAGGGTTATAGGTGTGAGCCACCAGCGCTGGCTCAGTAATAATTTTCTGAAGCCTCTTCAAATTAAACAAAAAATTTGAACTGATGCAATGGTTGGTAATCCTAGATACTTGGGAGATGGGAAATGAGATCAGAAGGATTTGGAGTTTGAGGCCAGCTCCAGCAAAAAGTTCTCAAGACCTCATCCCAATCAATAAAAGTTGGGCGTTATGACACACTTGTCATCCCAGCTATGCAGGAAGCATAAATAGGAGGGTCAAGGTCCAGGCCCGCCCAGGGAATAAATGTGAGGAAAAAATAGCAAAAGGGGTTGAGAGTGTGGCCCAAGTGGTAGAATGCCTTCCTAGCAAGTGCAAGGCCCTGAGTTTGAACCCCAGGACCGCCAAAAGAAAAAGTGGCCATGATTTATGTTTTCTTTAGATGGTGCCCCTTATTATAAGAGATTTGAGGTTATTTATAACAAAAATGTGTATGGGTTTTCTCTTATGCAAAATTCTTGGGACCAAAAGTTGATTGTATATTTTGGAATATTTGCATAATCACCATGAACTATCTTGAGGCTGGGATTCGAGTATGCACAAGAAACACATTAATTTCATATGCATCTTATACAAATAGCCTGAAGGTAAACTTATACAATGTTTTAGTGCACTTGCATTTTGACGGTGGCCCATTAGATGATGTCATGTGTGGAATTTTCCACTGGCAGCATCAAGTTGGTTCTTAAAAAGTTTCCAATTTTGGAGCATTTTGGATTTCTAATTTTCAGATCATGGACTTTCTAATTTTCAGATTAAGGAAAGAAAGAAGAGAAATATAATATAACATCTGAAATAATGAATGTTGTAAGGGCCTACAGTTGTTATGATTGACATTCTAGTGTAACTCTGAGCTTCCAGGCAGTGAGGAAAAAAGGGAAATATGAAACAGTTCTATTATATTCTTATCAGAATCAAGGCAGCCTCAAGCTTATAATTCTTTGGTCCTTTGAAGTCTGTCTTCCACCATCAGTGACAGCCGGAACTCTTGAAATGATGTGGGAAAGTGACATGTTCTTTGGGAGAAGTAAATTTCTCACTTGGAGTATAAAAGGAGGTTTTTGGGGGATGGTGGACCCTGTCTCTCAATATTGTATTTACTGAGTGCAGTAATGGCACTCATGATAATTCTTTCTCTAGTGTTCTTTTTTCTTCTTTGTGAGACTGGGGTTTGAACTCAGGGCTTCAGCTTGCAAAGCAGGCACTCCACCACTTGGAGCCATACCTCCAGTCCATTTTGCTCTTTTACTTTGGAGATGGGGGTCTCGTGCACTATTTCCCTGTGCTGACCTCGAGCCATGATCCTCCTGATCTCAGCCTCCCGAGTAGCTAGGATTTCAGGTGTGAGGTATAGGTGCCTGGTGTTCTTTGATTAAAGCCAAAAACATAGCATGACATTACAATAGATATAGACCACAGACAAATAACATAAGACCAGATGGGCTGAATATCAGACTAGAGTGTTTCAAGCCCTGTTTATAAGTAGATATGGGGAGCCAGGTGCTAGTGGCTCACAACTGTAATGCTAGTTACTTAGAAGGCTGCAATTGGGAGGATTGAAGTTCCAGGCCAGCCCAGGCAAATAGTTCATAAGATCCCATCTCCAAAATAATCAGAGCAAAATGAACTGAAAGTGTGGCTCAAGCTGCAGAGTGCCTGCTTTGTAAGTTTGAAACCCCAAGTTCAAACCCCAGTCCTACCAAAAAAGTAGATATAGGGGAAAGGATTCCAGAATAAACGGTGCTAATTTTTCATAATTAATGCTAGCTGTTTAACTATTTGTATGTATTTTCTGTATTACTGTGTGTTGTTTTTACTAGCTTAGCTCTTTATGCAGAGTGATTCAGAATAGAAAGCAAACAGAAAAGCCCCAGATCTTCCTGTCTAGAAGCCATTCACACTTTAAAAAACTGAAGTTATTTTGTGTAGGTGTACACACCTGTAATCCCAGCTACTCAGGAGGCAGAGTCAGGAGGATCTTGAGCTCAAGGCCAGCCTGGGCAAAGTTAGTGACACCTATCTCAAAATCAAAAACAAACAAAAAGACTGGGGGCATTGCTTAAGAGGTAGAATGCTTGCCAACCATGTACAAGGACCTGGGTTCAATTCCCAACACTGCCAAAAAAAATTAAGTAATTCATCTATAAAGTTAAAATATTTAAAGTATAGAAGAAACAAACTAAAAAATAAAATTCTCCCTTTCAGAGGGAGTCTCCACACTGCTCAAGTCTAGGGACGTCATTTGCATTGAAGTTGTGCAACACAGCAACCTTACCCCTCCCTTCAATTGCTTTTTCCTGAAGTAATTTCTGTTAGCAATTCAAAGCTATTTCCCAATTTATTTTTTAAATCATCAAAATGGAAAGGTATTGACTTTGAAGGATGAGTGATGGAGGTTAGACATCAAGAAGGACTTTCTAGCAGAAGGGAAAGTTGCAAAGAAACCTAAAGGGGAAGAGGATTTTGAGCATGGAGAGATAGGGTCTGTAGCAGGAAAGACTACAGGTTGGACTTTCAACTCTTAGCTCTAAAAGATCCAGGGGTGAATGGGGTGATGGGGTAAGTAGGGACAATGAGCAAATGAATAGAACAGAAAGTGCTAGTCCTTTCCTCTGACGTGGGGACAGCAGGGGTAGTCTGGGTCCCACTGCTCCAAGCTGGCCAACTCTGCTTAGGTGACTCAGGGCTGGAGGCCCCGCCATGCCTGGGGAGTTTTATAGTTGTGACTCCACTTCAAGGCAGCCCTGGCTGGTACAGCCAGAGCACAGGCAAGATAGCTGGTTAGTTTACGGGCTATGGCCAGAGCAACCCCAATACCCCCACATTCCCCTACACACTGCAGGCTTCCAGGACGTTCATGCCATGGTCTTCGTGGGCTTCGGCTTCCTCATGGTCTTCCTGCAGCGTTATGGCTTCAGCAGCGTGGGCTTCACCTTCCTCCTGGCCGCCTTTGCTCTGCAATGGTCCACACTGGTGCAGGGCTTCTTCCACTCCTTCCATGGTGGCCATATCCATATTGGTGTGGAGAGGTGGGCAGCAGCGTCTCCTGGCTCCTCCAGGGTCACCTGGGAGGCCCCAGCTCCCTGTCCAAGTCTACTTCCTGACCCCTGTTTTTGACCCATTAGTTGATCTCTGTAGGTGTCCTGCCTGTTCTTATTGCCTGATTTTATCTCCATCCTTGAACCTCACACTCTATCCCACCTCCTCACTTTTTTAAGGCTCCTATACCCCAGATTCCTAGGAGGAGAGAGAGCGCAGTGAAAATGGGCAGGGTAAGGAGGAGCTCTTGGCTCACTTAGTGTGAGCTTTGTCAGCCAAGTCACAGATCCTCCCTGAGAGTCAGGTTCAGGGTGAGGGCCCCCTTTTCCTCTTTGCCCTCTCCTGCCTGTGTTGTGCTGTCTCTGTTTCATGCCTGGGAAGCCCAGGAGCCACTTCCCTGCCTCTTTCCACCCCAATCCATGGGACTGCAGCATGATCAACGCTGACTTCTGTGCGGGGGCCGTGCTCATCTCCTTCGGCGCCATTCTGGGCAAGACCGGGCCTGCCCAGCTGCTGCTCATGGCCCTGCTAGAAGTGGTGCTGTTTGGCATCAATGAGTTTGTGCTCCTCACTCTCCTGGAGGTGAGTCTGGACAGGGACAGGGTGAGGACGTGGGTGGTTCAAGACTGGGCTTTTAAAGTGGAGAGCTTCTAGGTGGGGGCAGGGGCTGCCTCTCCACCTCAATTCCACCTCCCCAGGTCAGAGATGCTGGAGGCTCCATGACCATCCACACGTTTGGTGCCTACTTTGGCTTGGTTCTCTCAAGGGTCCTCTACAGGCCCCAACTGGAGAAAAGCAAACACCGCCAGAGCTCTGTCTACCATTCGGACCTCTTTGCCATGATTGGTGAGACTTGCCAAGGTGGGGTGACATTGGGGTCTCTGATCTGGGCTAGCAGACATCATCTCCAGGCAAGACTCAGGGTGCTGCTTGCTGTCCTTGGGGTTCTGGCTGGGGACTCCCTTCCCACTGGATTCTGCTCTGAAAGCCCTAAGGTCAGAGGTCATCATTCTAAATGGTTTTATCACAATTTTTTAGGACTCAGCCCTCACACATGGCTCACATCCATTCCTATGTTCCTTTCCAAATCCCCCTCAATCCTGCTTAAAACCTTCCAGCACCCCACACCCGACATATTAGAAACCAGACCCCTCATCTAGATGCATTGTCCTCCAGTTCCTCCTCTGGTTACACTGGGCTCCACCCAGCCTGGATATCTGCTGTTTGGTTTTCTGCAAACCTATAACCTCTGCCAGCCCCTAATGCGGCCTTCCAGCATCTAAGGACATTCCTCTTGGGATCCTGAAAGCCCCTGCTCTCTCAGGGGTAAGGAGAGAAGGAGGTGACTTGGGTCACCCCAGGGAGTGGTAGTGTCTGACCTGGAAGCCTGGTCTCCCAGTGGCCTCTGCCCTTCACTCTACATTTGAGACCTGCAGTCAGGAAAAGAAATCCACGTTATTTTTTCGCAGGTGTTGATTAGTGTGACTGTATTGCTTACTCTTGCACTACAAAGGGAGGCTGTTTTGTATTTCTCACCCACCTCTGGGTTCCTTGGGAAATAGACAGCAGAAGAATCCGGTAAGCTTGGATTGAAGTTCTAAGGCTGCCCCAAGATTTCCAGGCATCCATGAGGAACTTAGGTCCTTTTTCTCCTCTGCCTCCCAACTGCTGAGCTGCAGTGTGTCGGTCACCCAAGCAGGAAGCTGGCCCCTCCCTCCATTCTCCCCCAACTCTCCACCTAGAGATTACAGAGGGGAGTGGGATAGATTTTACTCAAGGCTGTGGGGTGACAGAAGTTATAACCAACAGGCCACTCAGGACTAAGGGGCAGTCCCTAAGCCTCCCACCTTGCTGGTCCACTGTACAGGTCCCCCAGCCTTCTCCCTCACCTTGTCCCTTGGTTCCTCCTCCCCCTCCCTCTCCCTCTAGGGTTGACCTGTGAACCTCACAGGCCAGCAGGGTACATTGACCCCAGTTCCTATCCCAAGTACATGGCCTAAGCCTGTGCTCAACAAACAAGCCCTCCTGAGCCATGCAGGGGCAGCCCTCTCTAGGAGGCAGTTGAGATTATAAAGCAGATTGTTGTCCTGATATATATATATGAAGTACCCAGCATAGCGCCTGATGCACAGGCCTTTGACTTTTCTCCTTTCCTTTTCTGATACTTTGAAAAGAAAAAAAACAAAACAAATAAACAAATGAACAAAACCCCTCAATGCTCTGTGATTTTCAATCAGGTAGTTTCCCCTTCATGCCATCGTTGAGTTGAGTCTTTTGTTGTTTTTGGAGGCGGTGGGGTTTGCTGAGGTTGGAACCCAGGGCCTCATGCATAAGTGCTCTAGATCCACCCCCAACCCCTTCTTGAGTATTCAGTACCTACTAGGCCATGGACTATGTGTTAATACACATCACCTCCTTTAATACTCACATTATGGGATGACTTTATTATCAATCCCACGTTAGAGATGGGGAAACTGAGGCTGCGGAGAGTAAGTGGTTTGTCTGCAGTCACACATCCTGAACCTTATGGAGAAGCTACTTACTTCCTCTCATTGTGCCTGACTGCCCACCATCTAGGAACCATCTTCCTGTGGATCTTCTGGCCTAGCTTCAACTCTGCACCCACCTCGCTGGGTGATGTGCAGCATCGGACAGCCCTCAACACGTACTATTCCCTGACTGCAAGCACCCTCAGTACCTTCGCCTTGTCGGCCTTTGTCAGTGGTGATGGGCGACTGGACATGGTATGGGGAGGAGGCCTTGGGAAAGCAGAGGGGCTGGCCTGGCAGGAGGAGAGGTCTAAGACCCTAAGACCCTGCAGGGAAGTCTCTAGGGCAGCAAGCATGGCGGGGGGAGGGGGCAGGGTTCCATCTGCTCTGGTGGTGGTGGGATCAGAGTGGAAGGAGATAATATGAAAGCAGGAGAACTAGAGAGCAGATGGCGGAGAGACTTCCAGAAGCAGTAGATTCCACTGCAGTGGGTGGGGTTGGGTTGAGTGTGGGTGTGATGGTCTGAAAGTCCTCCAGAGCCTTGCCTTTCCCTGTTCCCCTAGGTCCATATCCAGAATGCAGCGCTGGCTGGAGGGGTTGTGGTGGGGACATCAGGTGAAATGATGCTGACACCCTTTGGGGCTCTGGCAGCTGGCTTCCTGGCCGGGACTGTCTCCACCCTTGGGTACAAGTTCTTAACGGTATGGCTGCCTCTTGGGCTTTGGGCAGAACATGGAGTCACTTTCCTTCTATCTCCTCACCAGGCCTGGAGTGAGGATGGGAAGAGTCACACAAGCCTGATTATCCATCCTTTTCTCCAGCCTGTTCTTAAGTCAAAATTCAAAGTTCAAGACACATGTGGAGTCAACAACCTCCATGGGATGCCAGGGGTCCTGGGGGCTCTCCTGGGAGTCCTTGTGGCTGGACTGGCCACCCACGAAGTTTACGGGGATGGGTGAGTTTCCCCCAACCTACATGCAGTCATTATCCCTCTGGAATGACCTCCATCCCTCTCCTTAGTTTGTGAACCAACACAAAAAGCCAGTGTCTGTTTTCATCCATCCATCCATCCATTCCTCTACCATATTGAAAGCCAAGGAAACTGGAGCAAACGGGACCAACCCAGGGACTATCCTGTCAAGTGTAGCAAAAGGTCCTTGAACAAGTGATTTCAAGAATGTTGAGTGTTACTAAAAGATCAGTAAGAGATAATAAGCCTTGGGATCTACTTTTGCACATTGTATGGCTCAGAGAAGAGGGTGGGCAAAAGTAGTCCTCAAACTGGATCTTGGAAGGAATGTGGGGTCTGTTGACATATAGAGGGGATGGGCATTCCAGGCTATGACCTGGCTTGAGCAAAGGCCTAGAGGTGAGACCTGGCCTGGCAGGCTCCCTGTAGGACCTTTTGGCTGCTTTGTGTCCTCTGTGAATTCCTGTACATAAACATACTTGGCCCCATGCTCCATTCCTGTCAGTCCCCATCCTCCAACCCCTGGCTCTCCACAATTTGGTTTTCCTGCAGCCTGGAGAGTGTATTTCCACTCCTAGCTGAGGGCCAGCGCAGTGCCAGATCTCAGGCCATGTACCAGCTCTTGGGGCTGTTTGTCACACTGGTGTTTGCCTTCATGGGCGGGCTCCTTGGAGGTGAGTGGTCTTCACTGGGGGTGGGAGACTGGCATTTACTCCAAGGAAGGGAGAAGACAGAGGAGGGTGGTTCTTTGGAGGAAAGACCATTGGATCCTGTGTCCCTGACACTGATTCATCCACTCACAGATATTTATTTAGCACCTAACTTGTGCCAGATGAGAGGTTAGGTTGAGGGGTCATGGGTAATATCCTTTAGGTGAGGAGGTGTAAGTGGGCACTTGTTCTTCTTGGTCTGGCTCACTTGTGATGCTCATTCTGCCCACTAGAGGGCAGTCCAACTCCGCTGAAGCCCAGAAAGAGTAGGCTAGCAATCTGGCAGAGAAGGTGGCCCAAATTGGCTCACCTAGGCCAGAGCACAAAACTGTCCATATAGGCAGAGTGCCCACTGGGTCCAGGTCAGGCAGCTCTTGCTGATGTCTGGCCTTAAAAAATAAAAACCTGATTCAATATCCTTACCCTTCTTTTTTCACCTGAGATTTTCATTCTTTAAGGTTCAGTTCTTTCATTTAATAACTTATTTATACAATAAACATTTTTCTGGGCCCTCCTAAGTGGGAAGCCACAGAAAGCTTAGCATCTGGGGTCATGACAGGATTATGATTTGGCCAATTACTGACTGCAAACTTGAGCAAATTACTTTACTTCTTTGAGCCCTGGTTTCTTTGTTGGTAACCCAGGGCACCTTGTAGGGTTGCTGTGGGTTCTCAGGTGGGCAATGCTTGTCAAGCCTTTGGCACAGGGTCTGTCACATAGTAGTGCTCAACAAATACAGCTGTGGTTTGCCTGCAACAGGCACCAAGGTTGACCTCACACCTCTTGGCCCCTCTGTGCCCTGTGGCACTGAGTGACAACCTCCCTTGGGGTGGAGGACAGAGAAGTCTTACATATGTCCCTCTACCACCACCACCACCACCAGGGCTCTTGCTGAGGCTGCCCTGCCTGGACTCCCCCCCAGATTCCCAGTGCTACGAGGACCAGATTTATTGGGAGGTAAGATACAGCTACAATCCTTGTGCCCCTGGGGCCTTCATACCCTTTGACCCTCTCTTCCTTGCCTCACCTGCTATGGTCCAACCTGCCTCCTTCCTTCCTTGCCTACTTCTCCATTGGTGAATACTCTGGAACTATGGCTTCAGGTACCCTGGAGCTGTCTCTTCGCCCTTCCCCTGCCTTCCAGGTACCTGGGGAGCATGAGCATGAAGTCCAGGAAGCTCTGAATGTGGAGGAAACAGACACCCAGGCCTGACTGATGCTCTCCTTTTAGAAGATGAGGATACTCCCACTGAGAAATCCCTTTTTTAGCTACTGCTGCAAGGAAGAAATGCTGAGCCAGAAAGAACCTCCTAACCCTAGGCCATCTCTACCCAGGAGAGGGTAGGGGGACAGATCTGTGACTGACAGGGGACACAGCAGCAGAGCAGAAGCCTCACCAACTACCCCATGCCTACTTTCCTACTAGCCTGCAACTGTGGGTAGAAGATGGCCAAAGTGAGGCTCTAAGTGACTGCCCATCCACTGAGTCAGTGTCACATGGTTACAATGAAGCCTAAGCCGGGGGTGATAAACACCACCATGTCCAAGGACTCTGACTCCTTCTTTTCGTCCCTTGGGAACATGGGAAATTCTTCTCTCTAAATCACTGTGCTAGAACATTGGACAAAGACCTTACTGGTGACAAAATCCTTCCTGCTTGGGTCCACAGACCACCCTGCAGGATGTGACATCTTTCTAGGCCTATATCCTATCTGGGCTTGCCCTCTCCAGGGACTGGGAGCTCTTTCTTTCCCAGAAAGCCTGTGTCTGTCCTAGCATAGTTCAGACTGCCCAAACTTTCTTCCTCTGGCCCAATTGCTGCCACTCTGACCCTCAATTCTGGTAGCCTCTAAATGGAGTAGGAAGAGGCCCCCACAGGGCCCAATAGAGGCATAAGAAACCATCTGCCACCAACTCTTAGAAGCTGAAAGCAGCCATCACCTAGGTGCCACCTTATGTCCCTGTCCTGAGACTGAGGAATAGAGAATAGGAAGGACCTTGAATGGCTTAGGGCTGTGGAGAGGAGGATGAAGGCAGGCCCAGATCTTCTGTTGGCCTGAAGTCATTCAACCACGAGAGGGTGCTCTAGACCCAGCTGAAGATGCTTTCTGTGCCCATCCTTTATCCTCTACCAAGAATGGAAGTCCTTCCCTCCAGCCTAACTCCACTTCCTGTTCTCTTCAGTTGTGGGCCTCAAGAATTCATGACAGAAGACTTTTTCGAGTTTCCACTCTCCCCCACTACCGGTCAGGCAGATGCCAGGGTTTTGGATCTCATCCCTTAGAGTCCATCTCTCCCATAGATGGATTCCCTTCCCCACACTGCAGGACTGGGATCCCCTTTGCTCTCTTTTGCTCTTCCCACGAGCTTCTGAGCTTCCGGCAGGAGTTAAGCATGACTGCAGACACCTCTTTTCCCAAACCAAAACCCTTCAGACCTAAGAGCCCCAGGAGGAAGTGTGGATCCTGGAGCCTAACCCTGGGACAAGGGCAAAAGATGCTTCACTGGGCATCCTCCTCAGTGTGGCTGGAGGAACAGAGCTTGATTGGCTCAAGAAACCAAACACATATACAAGGAGCCACCGGGCTCCTTCCTTCACAACTCACCTGCTCATTGCTGGAGGAGTTAGCTATGTTGGGGGGACATCCCAGTGTGGAAGGAGAAGGTTGACTGCTGAGATTGCAGGACTCCAAGCCACTATCAGTCCCTACTGGGGGTGAGGGTAGGGATTGGGAGAGTTGAGGCCCCATCCCTCATTCCACCCTGACCTCAGCTGCCAGCTCTGCATGACCTGCTGCAGCCCTAGAGTTCCCCCCAAGCAGTTCTCCAACAGAGATTCAAAAGAAAACCGATTTAAGTACAGGATGAGACATTCCCCTGTCTAGTCCTCTCTGGGTACGGAAGACTAGAATTAATTTATTCATGACATCAACACTTTACAGCCTGACCCTCTCCCTCTATTGCTGGTTCCTTCTTGACTACTACCAAGTCTTTTCTTCCAGGCCTGAAAAAAATGGGCACCTCCAATCCGGGTGGTCCTTGCTAGGGGAAACCACCCATCTCAAATCTGAAGTGCTTTCCAGGGAAGGGACAATGGAGCCCACTTTGAGAAAGGGCAATTGCTCAACCAGCTTCCAAAGGACAAAAGGCTACAGGTCCCAGGATGGGCTGCCAAGAGGTCCCAGAGAAAGGAGGGACAGGGTGGGGGTTAACCCATAAGAAGTAGCCCTAAGTGTCCTGTAGCCAGACAGTTCCAAGCTCCACCACTCCCATGAAGCCCCTGATGGTTCAGACAATGACTCTGAGCTCCACCACAGCTTCTGACCACAGTCCCATTGTTCAGGGGACTCTGCCCAGGGCCCAACTCTCCTAAACTATACCTTTGGTTTTTCACTCTTTATTTTTCCTTTCCTTCCCCCTACTTTGCCTTAAATACAGGGCCATATGGTGGGTCCTCCATAGATTGTTCATTTTCATCCACTTGATCCACAATTTGAGGTCTAGGTGTGGGGGTTATCATCCCACCCTGGATTTCAGTTGGGGAATCCAGAGGGCAGGAAAGACAAATATCCTTGGATTTTCCTGATGAACAAGTAAGCCCCTCCCCCCTCTTGCCTATAGCCCCTGCCTCAGCACCATCCCTCCCTTACTTGGTGGCTCATCCATTCAGGCTGGGTCAACAAGGTGACAATGAGCAGGTCAAGGAGATGCCTGAGACAGGGGCCAGGGGGCTCCTTCCTCACCCCTTTAGGACAATGAGGTCTCTGCCCCTCCTGGACAGCCCCTCTGATCACCACCATTATTGCTCTCAATACAGGACAATCAGACACTTGCCCGCTCATGAACTCTGTCTGTCCAGCCCTGGATGCCTGGGCCTTGGGGACAGTGATGGAGGAGGGCACTCAGCTCCTGCTTACCTCCAAGGACAACTAGGGGATAAGGGAGATAGGCTGTGCTGGGGTTGAGTAGAAGCCAGCAGAGCCAGAAGGCTCTCAGAGGCGGGCACTGTTCTGGCTTGGCAACTACATATGTATGGACAACAGCAGTGTTTCCTGCCCAAGGACATCTGACTGGAAGGTCCAGAGCTCTTCCGGTGCTTCTGCACCTGTGTGTCCAGAGCCTTCTCTGCCTGTTGGGAATTGCTCCTCTGACCTCTGGAGGACCTGGCGCTTCGAACCCCGCGCAGCCTGGGAAAGGCCTGAGATCCCCTCTTTTGGGATTCACATCACGCCCCCCCCCCCCCCCCCCCGCTCCAAGAGGAATTAGACACGGCATGGGTGTCCAAAGTACGGGGCGGTGGCGGTCCCGGGCAAACTCGGCAGCCGCGTCCCTCCATCTCACCCCGATATTCCTCTCCCACCGTCGGGATCACCCCACCCGCCGCCTCCCGGCAAGGAGCGCCCCTCTCCTTTGTCTGGCCCGCCCGCCGCTCCCAGCCGGTCAGCCGCGCCGGCCCCGCGCCCGGGCCCGTGCGCCCTCGTCGTCGCCACCGCCGCCCGCGAACAAAGCCGGCCAATGTCTCCGGGCGGGCGGGCGAGCCGGCTATGCAAATGCCCAACGGCCTGTGAGAATTCCTCTCCGCCGCCGCCCCGGCTTCCACCGCCTGAAAGGGCCTGGCGGCCCGGCCGAGTGGGGGAGGCGGTCACTGCATAGGGATGAGCTGTCGTCCCGGAGCGCCCGGGACAGAGCGCCATTGTCTGTGTCGCCGCCGTCTGATTGTTAGTAGAATCAGCCAGCCCTCCGAGGAAGGCGGAGGGTGACCGGAACAGACCTTGGGACGAGGCGAGGTGGTCACCTGGCCCCTCCATACCTACTCCTTTCTCCCATGAGCTTGACCTTGGGGGTCAGACCATGGTGGCTCCTGCCTTGGCCCCTCTAGTCACTACTTAGTAGCCTGCACAAGGTAGTTTACTTCTCTGAGCATTTGTCTCCCGGATTTAAACCCAGCCCAAGTTGGTGTTCTTCCTACCTTATGTACCCTTAACTGCCTCCCCCTCTCCCAGTCTCCATCCATTTTTTTCCCCCCACATCATATTGACCCAATGGACTCTGACAAGTGTCTTTAGGGTCATTTCTCTTTCAGAGCCCTGAGGGAAATGCTCATGGTGTCCCCAAAGCAGAGCAAGTTACTAGGCAGACATGGTCCTCTCTGACCTGTGAGCCCCAGGCTGGGTCCAGGCTTCCTTCTTGCCTCCCTCTGCCACCAACCACCAAAGAGGCCCATTTTTACTGGGAGAGAGCACAGGCACTTGTCAGAATTAAAATAAACTCTCAATGATATGGAGGTGGGAGGAAATGTGTTCCTGTACCCCAGACTAGAAGCCTGCATCCATGTAGCAGAGGACAGTGGTCCAGCACCGGGAAAATCCCTGAATAGTGACAACAGAGTTCAATACTAGGACCACACCCCATTCCTGTTGGGAACTTGGCCTCTGTACTTGGGCACTTCCAAGCTAAGCTCCAGAATGGGCTTGAGACTAATAGGACACAGGACATAAACCGACCTTTTCTAAGCTCCCACCAAGACTCATGAGCAAGGGCACACGTCACTTAGGTGGGGAGTTATTTTGGAAATTCTTGGGCCCTTGAAGCAGTGATGCTTTCAGAACTTGAAATGTTTTTCAGGGCAAAATCAATGACAGCAACACTAAAAGGAGAACCATCCCAGGAAGTCTGGGGCTTTGATTCCAGTGAGGCTGGATGAGGGGAGGAAGAAGGTGCTGGTAAAGTAGGCAGTCTTCTGGGAGGCAGGCTCAGTACTGGCCTCAGAGGTGGCCCGTTCTTTCTGTGCCTTGACACAGCCTTCCAGGTGAGATGAAGCTCTTCTCTCTCAGCTTCTGTGGGGATCCAGGTGCAACATGCATCTCATCCTGAGGTGGAGACAGCCCTTGGGATAGCATTTGGGGGACTATTAGATGAGAGAGAAGTTAGGGACAGGGGACCAGGGCTGGAAGCTGAGGAATTTTGTGATGCCAAGGAAGCAGAGTTCTGTTCCCTCCTCTCTTTGTAGTCAGCCCTTCTGTAGCTCTCTTGACCAGGTCTCTGGTCATGCAAAGCGTTCTGACCTGGGGCTGCCCAGCCTCATGGAAACTTCTGCAGAAATCCCAAAAGCCACCTTTGAAAGAAGTCAAACCAGCTTCTTTACCCAGGGCCTGCCTGAGTCCCAGAGCATAGAGCCTCATTCCTCACCCTTCCTTTCCAAGGCTCCCCCTC